AACTGGATGTGGGAGGGTGGTTTTCTCTGGTGTCTACAGAGTGTGTCCTAGGTGTCGGAAGAGATCCTATGGTGTGTAGTTGTGGAAGCAGTGGGGAGTATAGCCCAGTAAGAGCCCCCGGAAGTGCCTTTTCATGGTGTGGAGTTTTTTTGTTAGGTTGTTGGGTTCTTTGTTGTTGTGACCTTTTTTCTTTTTTTTGTAGCGTTATTGGTAAAATGGCGTTGCTAGCTCTTTACGTTAAGATTTTCTAAGCAAAGCAGGGTTTCATCTTATCATGTCCAGGTCAATTCAAGGTCAACCAATGTTTTGAGTACTATCAAGATGTGTTCCTTCTTACTGGGGTATATTGCTATGGTAACGTGCGCTATAGAGCTAACCTGCCTCAGGTCAGGTAATGTTCTAGATTAACTCTCATTTAGTTATATTTTAAGTTTTGAAGCTTTTCTCCTGAAGACCTCACCAATGGCCAAAAGTAATAGATAAGAAATTAAATTACTATCTACTACAGAAATGTATGTTTTTGACAGTTGCTTGACAAAAGGATAGTTTTGACTGTTGGTATTTTGTTTTAGCCAGGATTAAATTTGAAATAAATTGTAATCTCTTGTTTCTGGTTATGTGGATTAAAGTGTGAAATAACCTTTTTAATATCTCACTTTGGGTTCAAAGCCAGCAGCAGTTCTTCAAAGATGTATTTGATCCCTAAACAGGTAGTTTACCTGCATTAAATCAAAACTTGCACAGTGATTTTGGTGGTTAATGCTGGAAAAAGTTACATTTTTACCTGGACCCATGAGGCCAGTTAGCTCCGATGGCTCTAGTATAAAAATAAGCAGACTGGTAAACTATCCACAAAATGATTGCATAGATATTTAAATAATAAGTGCTAGTATTTAACTAACTAACATCTTGTAGTTTCTGCTTGTGTGGGCTACACTGCCCAAGTACAAACATTGTTTTGTGCCCCCTGTAAGTCAGTTAAGCACTTCTGCATTCAATACAGTTTTCAAGTACGGACTTCCATGTAGCTGATGTAGCAACAACTACACATGCACCACAGGTGGAGGGTCTCCAGCTGTCCATTTCTGTGCCTGCAGCCATGTGTAATGGGGGCTTTTGTCTGTTCAACCAAAGTTAGAATCCTTCTACATTAGAGCACATGGTCAATCACATCTGGAGCTCTTGCTTTAGAGTCAGGATTAACTATTAAAGGGTGGTCCTTGAATTCAAACCAAAAAATTTCTCCTACAAGAATATTTCCTCAATTTAAAGAAAACAAGATTCAGAAATTGTAAAGGAAAGCAACAAAATAAAATATGTAACATCCTTCAGTTCACACTTTTAATGGATTGTTTGAATAGTCCTGTGAGATTACGGCGTAGTATTCAAGGTCACTGGATGGAGTAGGCTGAGTCACATTTTTCTCCGTTTAGCTGTAAAACAAACCTTCACACAGGCGTTTGTAATGAAAAAACAGGTGTGATTTGTGCAGATGATATTATGAGGCAGTCATCTCTACAATGTGCTGAATTCCCCAGATGACTTCCTCCAGCGCCCGATCTGACCTCTGACCTCCCTTCACTCTTTGTGTTTCCAGTAATGGAGAACAGAGCCGTTTATTACATGATAAACCGTGTCTTTGTTTGATGATAAATACACTCCTCACGCGGACGTCTACAGACTGTTTCATTGTTCGCTTCAAACACTGAAACTCTGTGCAAAGAAGCTAGCCGAGAATCAGCCAAACATGCTGGAAACCGGACTCACAGGGTCTGGCGAGGCAGCACCATCAATCATGCCTCTCTCTGTCTTCATTTTTTTTTTTTTTTTTTAAATCTGTCTGCCTTTTGCTGTCAGAGTGAGACGTCCTCCTGAGACGTACCAAGTCATAATGTTGAGCAATCTGTAATTTTGACTCATACTTTAGATCAAGAAAATCAAAATGCTAGCCTGTTTTCATCCCATATTTTTTTGAATATTTTTCTGAAATACTTGGGCTCAGTTATTTCAGGGAGTAGAAGGTTACATCTATGCAGATTCACAGTACTCGAAGGTAGGTTCATTAGCTTGGAAAGAAAGCGACTGGCCTTCTTTAAATTTGCTGATGACGTTTCACGTCTCATCCAAGAGGCTTCTTCATAGAGTGTCCCAGTAGTCGTGCACCAACAACAGCCAACTTCTGAAGCCTTGTCTGGTGTTTTTGGTTAGTCCAAAGGTGCTAGTAAGTAAACTAATATATAAGGTGTCTGACTTTGGGGTTGTCCTGTGGTGGCTGTGCATCATTCGGATGCTAAGTGTGTCTTTGTGTTTGAGGAGAAGCAGCTGAGCATGAGTGTGGTTACCTTTCTGAACAATGATTACCTTTCCCGTCATGTCTTGGGAAGAACTACTGAGCAAGATCAGCTATTGTTCACTCTTCTAGCTTTACATACAATATCATTAATAATCCACAAGAAGGTGGAACTCGACAAGTCAAATGTATCATGTAGAAACTATATCAATAATCAATAATCCTCTCTATTAGTAATAGGTTACTAACAGAATCATAGTTTTTCAAGCCACAGTGTTGATGTCATTGCTTTTATTTACAACCCTTGTGTAAATTAAAAAAAAAATTGAATGAAAAAATATTTAAATCTCACAAATTCATATTTTATTCACAAGAAAATCTGAAAACTACCATTTTTAAACTGAGACAATGTGCTGTTTTAAAACTAATATTAGCTCATATTAAATGTAACGACAGGTCATGTGTAGCATCCCCTCTTCTTTTAACAACAGTCTGTAAAAGCAGTCTGGGACAAATGTTGTTAATACTTACCTTGACTTATGGAGTTAAATGAGGGCCAAACAAAGGTTTTGTAAATTGGATATAAAAAATATATAATTCAACACTAATAAAATAAAATTTTATTATTAAACTTTGGAAAAAAAATTTAATTTCCTTCCTCTTGTCTTCTCCATGTCCTCCTTCATTACATTCATGAATCTTCCTTTTTTCCTTCTGCCTGGCAGCTCCATCTTTAACATCCTTTAAACTCCTTGCAAATAGTTTGTCTCTTGTCTACTCGTCCCTGCCTCTGCTAAATCATTTTACAACTTTATATATGCAGTATATGTAATTTAAGTATTATAAAAACTACTAATCAGTTTTATGACCTTAAATCTACAACATCACAGTGAGGCATGGGGAGACCAAGTTAGATGTCCATGTAGGTTCTCATATACGGATCCTCGCCCACTAGAGTTAAAGCAAAGAATTAGCCTTTATTCAGTCATATGCGTGTCCATATAATCCGTCATTTGGTAGTTTTATATGTTTTATTCTACATTGATTTATGATCTAAGACATTAAATCCAGGAAGGAAGGCGTTAAACGTCCGCAGCGTGTCCCTGTGATGATTTACACATGTGCACGACCAGGTGAAAGTATGTCAGATACTGTAATGCATTCTTCGGCTGCTGACACTGTTTTTATCCCAGTGTCTGGTCTATAGAATGAGAGCAAACCCTCAGCAGATCAGCCTCTTTCTCTCTGTCTCTCTCCAGTGTTTAGTAGCATTTTTCCTCCCAGGAGACGGTGTTGTGTAAAAAGCTGAGGAGTCTATGGTCAGCACCTCCCATTGGGCTTCATCAGGCCGCTGAGTCACAGCCTGGCAGCCAACCAGAACGTGGGATTAACACACAATTAAGCTAAAGGTTTAAGTTTTTCCCTGAAGGATATCAGTTATTTGTAGTTTTTAAATTAGTTTTTACTTTCTGGGATCTGATATGTTTACAGCAGACAGCCTCTGACATCTGAGCTCAAACGCCTGATTATAATGCTCCGTAAATGACATCTTTTGCTCTAGTACAAACTTAAAGTAAAGGCTGTAATTCCTGGTTGTCACCTCTGGAGGGCAGTGTGAGCCACAAACATCAGTTTCTTTGACGAGCAATCCAAGCAGCAGGCAGTCAGCTCTCAGTCTGTCAGCTGCATGTAGTTTTCCCCACACTTTAGATGACTTTATGTTGAAAGTTTTTCCTAAAAATAAATAAATGAGTAAATAAGTAAGGAAGTTAAAAAAAAAACCCAATGTTTTCACTTCACTTTTTCCACAGTAAACTGCACTATGTGGCTTTTTTGCATCAGTTCAGCGATGTTTCCTGACAATTTCCAGTTTTTTAAAAGCAGTTTTACTTTTTATTTTCTTCTGTGTTTTGTGGTTGTTTGTGGCTACGTCTCTTTTTTCCATTTTAAATTCATTTCAGATTGTTTTGTGTCTTTATGTTTTTATATTATTCCTGTAAAGCACTTTGTAACAGATTCCTGTCTTAAAACGTGCTTTTTAATAAATGTTACTTTTACTTAGTTACTCTTTCTTGGGTTTGTTTTTTGTGCCCCTGGTATTCTTTTATTTTATTTTTGTTTGTTGGGACTCGGCATCTTTTCTCCATCTCCATGTGACTGTTTTACGTCTTTTTTATGTTCATTAAAAGTTTTATTTTAGAATATATGGCTGTTGTTTTGCACTTTTTGTGGTCATTTTGTGTCTTTGGGATTGATTGTGTCTCCTTTTGGCAATTGTTTTCTATTTCTCTGGGTTGACTGTTTCATTCTTTGTGATTATTTGATAACTTGCTGTAATCATTTTCTACCATTAAGGGTCTTTCAGCGGTTGTTTTGCAGCTTTTTGTGGCTAGTTTTATTTTTGTCTCAGTCTTTTTGTGTGGATTTTTTTGTAACTGTGGTGTAACATTTTTTTTACAGTTGCTTCTTGTGTTATGTTTTTATGTTACCTTTTGATATCTTTGCAGACTGTGAATCTTTTCCATCTTTTTGATGTAATTCTGGTTTCTTTTTCTTTCATTTTAGCATCAGTCTGATCCTTTGAAGTGATTTTGTATCTGTTCTTTCACATTGTAAATCTTTGCCATCATTTTTGGGGGGTTTTCTTGAGATTTTTTTTTTAGCTTTTTGTGGCTTTTGTGATGGATTTGTTTTTCTCTTTGTGGTGTGTTTGCATAATTTTTTGATAATTTTGGCATAATCTTCTCTTTGTGGTTGTCATCTTTCTTTTTGTAATTCTTCCGGATCATTTTCGGTCTGTTTTCGTTCTTTAGTGTCGCGTTTGTTGTTGTTCTTTATCCCTTTGTTGTATCTTTTTGAGTTATTTTATGCCCTTTGGGGATTTGCTTGTGCCACTGTGTGTTTTCGGGTCTTTTCATGGCTTTTTTATTCCTCTGTAATTGTTTTGCATCTCTTTGTGGTCATTATGTGTCTTTTTTGTAAATGTTAAGCATGATTGCTATGTTTTCGTGGTTATTTTGCATCATTTAGGGATCATTTTGTAGCAAGCTATCATTAGTTTGGCCCTTTGTGGAGTCATTTTGCGTTGCTGAAGGATCATTATACACATTTGAGGTTTGTTACTAATCTTTTTTTGTGAAGTTTTTGGATTCTTGTGGAGGTCATTGTGCACCATCAGTCACGTATAATTTTCCCTGGCTGTTGTTAGCTTCTTGGTGTGCATTTGTCTGTTTTTATTTTGTGGCTGTTTTATGGATCTCTGGCTATGAAATTGGAAGTGAAGAAACTTGTGACGGTAGAACAGGTAAAAGTTGTGGCCTTAAGGTGGTGCTAGAAGACAGTCATTCATCATACGTCCTCATGAAAATGTCTTTCTTGTGAACATTTTGTTGATAAATTGCTGAACGGAGGATTAAAGCTTTAACATGACATGCACTGATGGATTTGTAGTAGCAAAAACACCCAGAGATGATTTAAATAAACTACAAAAACTGATGGAATAGACACACTGTGTATCAAACAAACACATTGTGTATCAAACGTGTATCTATAATGAGACAGCTTGTTGCACGCTGAGGTTTGTCCAGCTCTTCATGGAAAGCCATCCTGTCTGTGCCGATCCTGTTTTCTGGCTGCCGCTGTGTTGAGGTGGCGTGGTAATCTGGACAGATCCTCAGTCAGTCCCATCTGGCTCATTTTGTTGTTCACACAGTGGCGGGCAAAGTGTCATAAACACAGATAAGGCCGGGAGGAAAATGTTTTGTGAGGGTCAGGGCTGCTGCGAGCGTTACAGTGCTGGCATTACGCTGAGTTATGGCTGCAATCAAGCCACTCAGGTGATTTGTGAAGGTCGCCTGGAGCGCAGAGGAAATGATTTTTCCTTCATGTCTCTGCAACACTCTGTAGCTACAAAATGACATTTCACAAAAACAAGTCAGCTTTACATCCAGGTTCTACATCTGATCTGAAAAATGTTGTTATAACAAGCACCATCCATATTAAAGACACTTTAAGTCTAACCATAGCCATTTTTCTCTTTGTAGTAATTTTTCTGACTGTGTGCAAACTATACATCACCTTGAGGTCTATTGCACCAATTTCAAGATGGCAGACACATTTTGGCCTGGTCCGGTTTTCTTTCAGTCACTTACTATTCAAATATGGCAAATGTTTTACGTCAAAGTCAGAGTTAGAGATACAGCCGTAACATTTGAATAAACTACTTGAATAAACCGTTATTAAAAAAATTCTAGTCCATATGTAGCAGCTACAGGATTGCTTCTACTGGCTGGAAAACAGCAGATGAGTTAACATTGTGCTAACTAGATATCTTTATGTAAACTGCCAGTTTTCACATTCAAAGTCAACTTCTGCATCACCTTAAGTTAACTCACATGAAAAACACAAACTAAACACCTGAATTTTTAGCTGAAACCAAAACCTCATGCATATTGTCTAATTAGCTACAAAGCAAGGTTAATAGAATTTCACTCAGTGAAAGTGCAGCACAAACAACTTGGATCCTCTGTACCATACAGCAAGCTGTAATTTTAGTCATTAAATTGGCTCCAAAAGGCAACAACAGCACAAAAACACAGCGGAGGAGTTCATTTTTATGACTCATATTAGTGGAAGTGAGGCTAAGTGGGGACACCTGTTAGACAAAGCCACCAGTACCCAGGTGGATGAGGTAAAGACTAATTTACCTCTGATTAGTTGTTGTGAACTCTCCATGCTGAGCGAATAATGGTGGGTTGATTTTGGATATTCAGTCAGCTGCAGTGAAAGACCTTCAGGTGTGAGACCACGTGGCCTAACGGATAAGGCGTCTGACTTCGGATCAGAAGATTGAGGGTTCGAGTCCCTTCGTGGTTGTTGCCGAGAGTTATTGTTGAGACCCACTAGTCTCTAGGGGATGATGTGGCACCTGGGTTCAACTGTTGGTGGATAGCAAACTAAATCTTCCAGTAAGCTTGTCCAATGGTTCCTCTTCTTTCTATTCACACACCCTTTGCAGACAATTTTATCAGGTTCTTTCAACCTCACCAAGTCTCTCATCCACTTCTGTTTGTCTTTGTTTAATCTGATTTCCAGAAGAATTCAATTCAACCAATTATAGATAATCATTGTATATAATTTACATGCCCCTCGTATGTGGAGTTTCTCAGGCCTCATTCCTTGGTCCTCTTCAGTTTTCATTATACATGCCACTCTTGGTTCATCTACTAAAAACATCCGCCTCTTCTACCTGAGTGAATGATTCACTACCAACAATAATTGATTGGTTGTCTTCCAGTTTTCTTCCTCTCAGCACTGGCAAAAGTGAAATTCTGGCGTTCCACCCTGAAAACCTCTCTACTTAGGTCAGTCATTACATCAGCACCCTCCACAGCAAAATGAAATTATAACTGACCAGCATTTGAAGTTTGAATCTCTCATCTCATCTCTCAAATTTGCTTGGCAGAATGCAGAAGCTAGGCTCCTAGTGCCAGTGCTGACACGTCATGCCTATTCATAATTTCCTTCACTGGCTTCTGGTGAAATTCATAATTCATTTAAAAACATTTAGTAACATATAAAGGACGACCTTTTCAGGCTCCAGACATTATAACAGGAAGCTCAGGGTCCTCTAAAGTGAGGTGATCACGCCTGCAATCCAAAGCAAAGGTTCCTATGAAAACTTAATTTTTACATGGCTCGTAATGCCAGACAAATATTAGTCTTTAGGACCAAAGTTCTTAAAGGCACTGTTATGATGTCTATTTCAACTGAGCTCTCCCTTAGAAACACAAGGGTTTACTTCACTTTCTCCAGAGGCTCCCTAATTCTGCCTAATTCTTCCTGTGGCCGTCAACTTATTTAGTAATCCATCTATGCTTTTAGTGCAGTCCTATATGATGTAAACTTCCACTCATAAAAACCCCCTGTCATTTAACTAATACAGAAGCTGTGGAAGTCATGCCTATCAAAACATTGTTATTATGGAAATTTAATAATATTTTGCTCATGTGCGCAATTATAATCACCTAATGCTGTGCTACTTTAAATGTCAGTTAATCATTTGAATCAGATGTGAAGAAGGACTCTGAAGCCAACACTCGATGAAGCCAACAGAACCACATCATCCGCGAAAATCAGAGATGAGATTCTGAGGCCACCGAAGTGAAAGCCCTCCGCCACTTGGCTGCGCCTAGAAATCCTGTCCATAAAAATTATGAACAGAACCGGTGACAAAGGGCAGCCCTGGCGGAGCCCATCACCCACCAGGAACGAGTCCGACTTATTGCCGGCCATGCGGACCAAGCTCTTGCAACGGTTGTATAGGGATCGAATGGCCCGTAGCAATGGGCCAGACACCCCAAACTCCCGCAGCACCTCCCACAGGACACAGCGAGGGACACGGTCGAATGCCTTCTCCAAGTCCACAAAACACATGTAGACTGGTTGGGCAAACTCCCATGCACCCGCAAGTATCCTTGAGAGGATAAAGAGCTGGTCCAGACCAGGACAAAAACCACATTGTTCCTCCTGTATCCGAGGTTCGACTAGCGGATGATCTCTCCTTTCCAGCACCGTGGCATAGACTTTCCCAGGGAGGCTGAGGAGTGTGTTCCCCTTGTAGTTGAAACACACCCTCCGGTCCCCCTTCTTTGGTTCTTTGTTTTATATTTCTAGGGAAAAAAGCAATTTGGTATTTCTTACAGAGAAAAACTAAGAGCAATTAACTGGTTTTGTCTATCTGGATTACTTGATGAAAAATGGGTGTTTACAGGAAAATTTTGATTTCCAGAAATTTCATTCAGTGAAACTCGACATCTTTTTGGAAAAGTCACCAAAGTGAACTGAGGTGTTCACATGGTGTGATTACTTTCAAAGTCCATGCAGTGAATTGTACTGATGTGAATTTGCATAATAGAGGTGTTTCCAATGGCAACCAGAACAGTGGGACAAACCTACTGAGGACACCTATAGCAGTACCAAAGAACTTTAGTTTCAGATAAATTAGTTCTATATACGGCTGTGGCTGTGGTAGACTGTGTCAACTACCGACTAAAAGGTTGGTGGCTCAATCCTTGACTCTTCCAGTCTGTAGATCAAAGTATCCTTGGTCAAGGCACTGAATCCCAAGTTGCCCCCAGTGAATCAGTGTGTATGTGCAAATGTTAAAAAGTGCATAGGTATAAAAAAAAAAAAACAACAACCAAACAAAAACATGCTGAATGAGTATGAGTGTGATTAAGTGGATGAAACTTGCTGCTCTTTGAGTGGACAACTGAAGAGAAATGCAGTATGAGTACGGATCCATTCACCACTAAACGGTTTCATCTATTCAAATTAACTTCTGGCTTGACAAACCAACATGGTTGCCAAGATACTGCTGTTCAAGTTTTAAAATGCAGAGTCCAAGATCAGTGAGTATCACGGTGGCTACATCCATTTTTTATGTTGTCTTTGGTATTTACAGTACTGTGCAAAAATCTTGAGCCCCCTCATTTTTTTATATTTTGCTTCATGGAAACTAGAGTTTCTTTTCATTTTTAAAGTGCTCTAGAGCAGTAATTCTCCAGGCTGATCTTTCTTTTTTTTTTTTCTTTTTTTTTTTTCGTGTCCCGTTTGGATATTTGGCCATCAGAATTGTTGTCTTAAGGCCAAGAAAGATGCCAAGCGGATTTATTTTACCAAGTGGATCATCATGGCCTTGCCATATT